CTCTCACTTACTTTTGTAGGTTGTGTTCAAAATCAATCATCTTGCATTTTTATTTTTCGGAAGTGCCGCCTTTTTTCTTTCTTCTTCCCTGTATTCCTGAATCCTAGAAGCAAGAGCTCGTCTCATGTAACCATCTGCCTATACAAGCTTAAAATTTGACAAAGATATCCCTCCCAGTTGGACTGGAACACTGAATTTGGTCCAAAAACTCATCTGTTCACGGCAAGTTCAATACTTGAGCTATGTTGGCCATAAAAACTGCATGGTAACAACTTTGAAAGGCCATAAAATTTGCCTGAAACTACCTTGGACTGATGTTCAGGAACTCATTCAATGGGATCTCATTGGGGTGTCCCTCCTGAATTCTAGAGCTGCCTGACATCAATATTGGTCTGAAACCTTAACCTTTTTCAAGAACAATTCGTCTGAAACCTCATCTGTTCACGGCGAGTATTTAACCAAAAACTACCACAATTCATGGAAACGTGACGAAAAACTACCACTTTACGTTTTTGTGCGAAAAACTACCACTTTTATCCTAAACCGTGGCAAAAAACTACCAACTCGTTTAACTGCTCGGTTCGGCCGCGCTAAGCCCGAATCTGACCGGTTGGGCCCACACATAAGCAGCGTAAAAAAGCAATCAGGACCCTGGTGGTGTTTCCTACAAAATTTTGTATTTTCTAGAGTATTCTTGGTGAAAAATGGCCGATAAATAGCCGAACGTGACACAACTTGCATACGATGTCGAAAATCGTTCAAATCTGACATGGATGACTACCATGAGCATGCCCACCTGCTGGCAAAAGTTAGCTCATTTGATGCATGTCGAAAAATAGACGATAGTCAACATAGATTGTTCAGGCAGGCGAGAAGGGTTTGTATGAGATTACGGGGACATTTTTTTAAATTCTAGATCAATTTTAAAAATTTATATTGAAAAAAGAATCTGGTATTCTAAAGAAATTTTCAAATTTTTGAACAACTTAAAAAAATAATGATAAAGTTCAAGAAGGAGAAAATTAATTAACAAAAAAAGAGAAGAAAAGCGAAAAAATAGAGAAGAAAAAAGTGCTTAGGCCCTAGAAAATAAGAAAAGCTTTCAAAAAATATTCGCAAATATGAAAAAATGCTGGCAAATTTGAAAAAGTGTTCGCATTTTCACCATGTGCATGCCCACCTGTTTACCAAAGTTGATGCCCTTTTTTGAATGTCCAAAAAAATACCATGTTCAACGTAGGGTTTGCAGATAGGCGAGAAGGCTCCACCGAGACCACGTTGTTTCTCAACATCCGTTAAAAAACCTCATTTTTTTCATTGACTTGTATGACCAATTCAAGACACAATTCCAAGTTGTTTTGGTTTTCTATAAATTTTGCTTTTTCTGGAGTTTTTTTAGTAAAAAAAGGGGCATTAAATGGCCGGATGTGTTGCAACTTGCATATGGTGTTGGAAATAATTAAAACCTGGCGTGAATGCCTACCATGAGCATGCCCACATGCTCGTAAAAGTTGGGGTCATTTCATGCATGTTCGAAAATAGACCATGTCAACGGAGGTGCTCGGGTAGGCCAGAAGGGTCCGTATGAGAGCATGTTTTTCAACATCTTCCATTGACTCCAATTTTTCCCCATAAGCTTAAATGGCCAACTCAAGGCACCATGCCAAGTTGTTTGAGTTTTTAACAATTCTTGCACTTTCTGGAGTTTTCTCGATGAAAAATGGCTGATACATGCTCGGACATGACACAACTTGCATATAGTGTCAAAATTCGTTCAAACCATGGGCACGCCCACCTACTGGCAATAGTTGGATCATTACATGCATGTCCAAAAAATAGACTATGTTCAATGGGGGTTGTTCGGGTAGGCGAGATTGGTCTGTATGAGAGCACGTTTTTATCGGCATTGTGAAATGACCCAAAAAATCTCATGAGTTTATATGACCAATTCAAGGCATCATGTCAAGTTGTTTGAGTTTTCATTATTTTTTGCAATTTATGGAGTTTTCTTGATGAAAAATGGACGATAAATGACCGAACGTGACGCAACTTGCGTATGGCGTTGGAAATCGTTCAAACCTGGCATGATTGCCTGCCATGGGCATGACCACCTGCTAACAAAAGGTTGGGTCATTTCATGCATGTCCAAATATACCATGTTCAATGGAGGGTGTTCGGGTAGGCCACATGGGTCCGCATGAGAATACTTTTTTGGCATCTTCAGATGAGTCCAAAATTTTCCATGAGCTTGTATGACCAATTCAAGGCACCATCCTAAGTTGTTTGCGTTTTCGATAATTCTTACATTTTTTAGAGTTTTCTGGGTGAAAATGATCGATAAATGGCCAAATGTCACGCAACTTGCATAAGGTGTCGGAATCGTTCAAACTAGCATGGATGCCTACCATGCGCATGCCCATCTACTAGCAAAAATTGCAGTGGTCTTAAGAATGTCCAAAACTGGAACATGTTCAACGAAAGGTGTCCGTGTAGGTCAAAAGGCTCTATCTGAGAGCACGTTGTTTGTCGACATCTTCAGTTGTTGTATTGGTTTAACATTTTTGATTTTTAGGTTTGCTAACCAAAAATTTAAAAAGAACGAATGGTAAAAAACCAAATTTTCGGTTTCTACCACCCTGATAGGCGATGGCATCACTCCAATCGGCCGCCTGTTCGGCCGGCCCAAGAGTTCGCCGATTTGAATAAAGTTCATCGATGTTGAAAAAATGTTCACAAATTTAATTATTATTATTTTTGCAGATTTTCAGAAATATTACCCAATAAAAGTTGAGAAAAAGTTTAAAAAATGAGAAATTTCACGAATTTGTTTTTTTTATTTTAAAAATTTCTGGCATTTGAAAAAAAAGAGAAGAAAAAACCTAGAAGAAAACAAAACAAAAGCTGGTTTTAAAACACACGATTTTTTTACTGAAAATTCAGAAAGTTACATTAGCCATATAAGAAGCTAAAAAGAAAGGAAGTGTTCAAAATGTTAGTTCTGAAGTTTGCACACTCCTCATATTTTTTTTAAATGTTCTTAACATTTTGAACTAACATATCTCCTGATTTGTTTTTGAAATGTTCACGCTTGTAAAAAATGTTATTCAATTTTTTTTTTGAAAAATGCTCATGCTTTTATGAAAAATGACTTTTTCAAATTGTGTTCAAGTTGTTCAATAACAAATGTTGGATTATGAAACATTATTCAATTTTTTAAAATTCATACAGAATTTCCTTGGTGTTACTCCCTCCATTCGGGTTTATTGGGTCCGAGAGCCACCAAAACTTGTACTACCATGTTTACTAGGTTGCTGCAGACTTTATATCAAAAACGAAAAAAATAGGCTGCTGCATTTAAACACGTCACTTTATTCCTTCGTCTCTTCATGGAAGCTAGCGCATGGGTCTCCTTGATTGGATCAGGTAGTAGCCATTGCATGCACAGATTAGTTAATAGGCCTAATTAATAGCGGTGATTATCTAAGAGATTTATTTCCAATTTGTCCTATGCGTATTTAGTGGTCTTTCTGTTTCGGCTCAAGGGCCCAATAAATCCGGGCGGGGAGATTCTTAAGTTTGCAGGCTCCTAATTATTCACAAACACAAGTCAGCTCAATTGGTGAGTGGATCTACTACATGTATATAAAGAGGTTTGTGGTTCGATTCTTAACGGGGGCTTGTATTTTGTGAATTTTTACATTTCGCGTCGCGCTCCCTGCAGCCTTCACCAATGGGCCGGCCCGGTCGAGGGTGCCTCCCATGCCATATATATGTTCACGACGTATTTAAAAAAAGACAATCCTACCCTTTCTTATGAAGGGGTATGAAGAAATCTCGTGCGTTGATGTGTTTAGGGGGATTGTACCGAAGAAGAAGAAGTGTAAAGACAGCTGTATATGTTGGGTATGGGCGCTCATATGTTTAAAAAAGAATGAAAACATAGAAGCTTAGCTAGTTGCAAAGTTAATTACTTCTTATGCATGTTTTATCTATTTAATAGAAGTCAATAAATTGCATTAATCCATTTCTCTACTAAGGTCTTGGCCATGGTTCTATGGCTTTTGAATTTTAGAACATGGATTACTCAGGACTCAGGAGTTGAGTGTACTAGATTAATAAGCTTGTTTCTATTACTTTAATGAGGATATTGACAATGTCAAATGGAGATTAGAATCTTCGGGGGTCTAAACAAGTACTCCCTCCATTCCTAAAATATAAGTATTTTTAGAGATTCTAACGCGGACTGCATAAGAAGCAAAGTGAGTGAATCTACACTTTAAAATATGTCTATATACATCCGTATGTAGTTTTTATTGAAATCTCTAGAAAGACCTGTATTTAGGAACGAAGGGTGTACACAATGAGATTTTTGTCATTAAGATTTTTTTAAATGCGGAGAGTTGGAGCCTGGAGGTGTTGTTCATCAACTGAATAAACCGCATCATGATAATGCGAATCTGCCACATACTCCTACATGTTATATTTGTTATATGCATGTTTTATCTATTTAATAGAAGTCAATAAATTGCATTAATCCATTTCTCTACTAAGGTCTTGGCCATGGTTCTATGGCTTTTGAATTTTAGAACATGGATTACTCAGGACTCAGGAGTTGAGTGTACTAGATTAATAAGCTTGTTTCTATTACTTTAATGAGGATATTGACAATGTCGAATGGAGATTAGAATCTTCGGGGGTCTAAACAAGTACTCCCTCCATTCCTAAAATATAAGTCTTTTTAGAGATTCTAACGCGGACTGCATAAGAAGCAAAGTGAGTGAATCTACACTTTAAAATATGTCTATATACATCCGTATGTAGTTTTTATTGAAATCTCTAGAAAGACCTGTATTTAGGAACGAAGGGTGTACACAATGAGATTTTTGTCATTAAGATTTTTTTAAATGCAGAGAGTTGGAGCCTGGAGGTGTTGTTCATCAACTGAATAAACTGCATCATGATAATGCGAATCTGCCACATACTCCTACATGTTATATTTGTTATATGCGGATATGCGTGCAATATCTACGTTGATGATCGATCTTACCATCCTCGGAGTCAGTGGTGAAGTTTTCCATCCGAATGAGCGAGTACACCTCAAGCGCATTGATGAGCGGTGGCAGGATCGAGCTGCGCGTCTTATTCAGGGTGTACAACGCATTGCCGTTATACAAGAACCGCCCGCTGTCGTGCAAGCTGTTGGCCTGTAAAAGCGACGGGGAGAAGCCCCGGTGCAGCAAATCGCCTTCGTTGTAGATGTCGAACCTTCTGTTCGGGTTGCTACCATTGATTTCAGCGAAGTGGAAGATCGGGAGAAGGCGGACACTCTCAGGGTCCCAATTAGGACCCTTTGCCATGCCGAGGCTCATGAAGGAGTAGTTTGCGTCTAGGGTCGTGGCCTTCTGGAAGATGGCCATCGGCACATTGAAGTAGTCGTCTCCTGGGAGAATCTCCACTTTGTTGCTAGTGCTGGGGCTAATCCAGGGGTAGGAGCTGTAGGAGAAAGACCAGCCCTCCCAAAACCGGTCGTAAGGGTCCGTTGGATATCTTCATCGCACACAAAGACAAGGGAAAACATGTAAATAGCTAAGCTAGCATGATACACTATTTTTTGGTTCTATTGGAGCTGGTTATATAAATTTCTTGGCACCATGAGATATTATTGGACAATGTATTTGAAGTGTGTGCTCTTCTGCTTCAAATGCATTGAGCTAGCCAACACATTAAAAAACAATTGACATGCATAATCCGATTTCAATCTAAAACTATCATGGATGTCAGTCTCACCTTGTGATATATTCAGTGGCATTGCCAAATCTGATCCGTCTAAAATAGCCGACTGATACCCTTGTATTCACAAAAGGGTACATCGGATCTAGCAGTGGCCTCAGCTCCAAGGAAGACACGAACGGAGTCCCTGAACCGAAGTTTATCAGACAGAAGGATACGAAGTTGCTCGGAGCAATGGTGAGTACCTCCTTCCAATCCGTGATCGATGGATCCATATTTGTTAAGTTCACCGTATCCCAGAAGTTGACGCCAATATGGAGCCCGAACAGAAAAGGTGACCCGTCCATACTCCTGTTCAACCCATCGTAGTTGCCATAAGTAAACATAGCCCTCAACAAAAACTTCTTCCCAATTGTCGATGGCAGTGTGTAGCAATTCCGTTTGCCCTGAGGAAAGCTCCTCAAGGTTTTCTGGTTCTCATATGGGGCATCAGCCATGAATGCTGCTGAAATATTGTTGCTCACACCGCCCTCGACAAATTTAAGGTCAGGAAGGAACAGGAGTCCCGTGGTGCTGTCCTTGTAGGGACTATCGTTTGTGAATCCACAATCTACGCTTAGAAACCCTGCGTAATGGAGAGTATGTATCAGTTTCATGTGTCTCATGTTTAAGATGATCATGACATGTGCCACTAGGTATTCAGTAGCTAATAATACCTTTATTATTAAGATATCAGTAAAGTGGGATTTCTTCAGTTCTACGCTGAAGTAAACTAAAATGTGCAGATGGAGCAGGGATTAAAGTTGTGATAAGTGAAACTAGGAGGATATGGTTTGTATTACCCGGAGTAGACTGGCCATCGCCTCGAGTCATCATGAGCAGCAAAGCCAAGATCCATGGCAGTCTTCTATTTGCCGAGCAACTGAAGCTGAACACCATGGCACTCTTGGGTTCTTGCATTGCCGAGAAGCAATCATGCAAACCAAGAAGCTTCGTATAAGCAACAAATGACTTGTGTGCGTAGTTATATAGCAGAGAAACACAACCGGCACAATTTAGTATTTGGATTGAATTTGCCTGGTGCTCGATTAACAATATGGAGGAAACATCAACAAGTAACCTTTTTTGTGAAAGAAATGCAACTTGCATTCATTTAGAAATAGAAAATGCAACTTGTATTCATCTAAAAATGAAAGTGCAACTTGCCATGGAGTTTAGGTTGACAATCTCAGCGCTAACGTGCGGCCCATCACCGTGATAAAGAAGTCCCACTGGATTTTGGCCACAATGCATGCATGCAGCTTGCTCCTACAGCGTTGACATTCCTCTGAACCAGTCTTCTTTGGTAAATTGAACAAGCGGCGTGGTTTGAGGCCTCTGGATCTGTGGGCTTTAACCCGGATCCGTGGCAGGGGCCGCACGACAGCGTAGCTATGGCGGATTGGCGGGGCCGGTGTTGGCAGCACGTGATTCTGAACTAGTCTTATGTGTTAAATTAAACTTAAAATCTAAAAAGTGCACGCGCATTAAACAGAGAGAACGGGTGGCCATTTCCTGGCCGCACGATCGCGTCGCGATCGTCTCGTGCGAGCTCTAGGTGCCACCTGGTCGGGAGACCTCGCACCGCGCGGTCGTGGGCGACTTGTCCTTACCTGGACGAGGAAGGAACCCACAAGTAAGCGGTAGAGGGAGATCGTGGGCGGCGGTTTCGAAATGCAAGCCGTTCTCTCCCCCATTTTCTTTCTTTTCTCCCCCATTTCCGTTCCTTTCCTCCCGTCTCGCTCTCGCTCCCGCAACTGCGGCGAAATCGTGCCGCGTCTCTCAAACCGCTGGCGGATTTGCTGCTGGACTGTGGGGGGATTTGCTGCTGGCCCTCGTCGGCGTTGCAGGTACCCACTGTTGTCCCTTCTTTCTCATGTCTATGGCTAGGAAATCTTAACCATCTTTGGTCAACGAGCTAGTCTAGTAGAGGCATACTAGGGACACAGTATTTGTTTATGTATCACATATGTATGTAAGCTTCCGATCAATACAATTCTAACATGAATATTAAACCTTTATCATGAATAAGGAAATATAAAATAACAACTTCATTATTGCCTCTAGGGCATATTTCCTTCACTCCCGTCTAATCTCTGCTTCCCCACCGCCCCCTCCGCCATGGCCAGCTCCGGATCGAAAGAGATCGACTGGGTGGGGCTCACCGTTGGCGACCCGCCAAGCTTGTCTGACCTAGACGAGGAGGAGCTCGTGCTCCGCATTGGCGCTCCAGCACTCGGCATCCCCAAGCTCCTGGGTCGGCAGTCCGTCCTTCGCAGAGGCCTGATGCCGCCCAGCCCGCTCTCTGTCATCCACGGCGAGGCGGTAGCATGAGCAGCGGCGCTCGGCAGCGCCATCACCTGCCCCCTGCTGGGAGCCGCTGGGTGCTGGTGCCCGCACCCCCAGCCCGCCGGCGCGGCAGCGACATCCGAAGACGACGGGCCGTGCCTACTGCCAGGCGGCAACACAGGGCGGAGTGAGGCACAGCCGCAGGTCGTCCAGATCTGCGCTGAAGCTGCTGCCGCCCGCCAAGGATGACAATGCAGCGCTCCGCCACGCAATCTGACGGTTTTTTACACCTCGGCGGAGACGAGGCCCACCGCCGACAAGGTGACACAACAGAACGAGGTTGCGGCGGAGAGGATAAAATTAGATGGAAAAATGATGTGATTTTAATTAAAAAGTTGTCTATTTGCAAGGAGAAATACCTAACAAAAACTGAAAGATTGAGAATTTTAGATGCACTCATATACGAGTAGAAAAAATGGTTAGCAATGTGCATGGACCCGTTCAGACGTGAAGGCCTTGTGCGTTTCATACTCGAACGATTACAAAATGAGCCAACGTAAACTAGTGCGTTCTCCTGGCTACCGTTCAAACGTCCACATCCATCCTCGTCGGACCGATCGAGTTGGTATGTGTGTGAGCGTGTCTACCGTGTCGAAGACCGGCACGCGGTCGACAGAGAGTAAGACAACCGACCGGATACTAGTTAAACTGATCAGCAACCTTTCATCTGTTTTCTATCCCCGTGTGTTTCCGCGCTACGACGAGAGCCGCTGAGCCGTCCATTTCCTGGACAAGACTTGGCAGCGTCTTCTTTCTTTTCGCCGGAAAGCAAGCCTGGGACAGAGTACGCAGTTGTCTAGCATAGCCGAGCTGTTGATTTTACTACCTCTGTTCATTTTTTTTCATTTTTATAAGACGTTTTAGACATTCAGACACTGTTCAAAACAGTACTACAACACAAGCTGTCTGAAACGTCTTATAAAAACAACACTTTCGCTACGATACAACCCCCTAAACACATCAACGAGGGAGATTTAAAGATTTAATGATTTATCCATACCCCTTCATAAGAAAGGATAGGATAGTCTTTTCTTAATTTTTTTTGAGTGATTGATATTTTTTTAAATACGTCTACCTTCCACCGAAGTGTATACACCGTACGCCTACTGGGCCGGTCCATTAGTGACCGATGTAGAGAGTGCGGCTGTTCACGGAAAGGTAAAAATTCACAAAGTACATGCACATACTACTAGGAATCAAACCATGGACCTCTTGCATGTGAGGATTTATTGTGCCTACCCATAATATCGCCAAAACAAAGGCACATCAGGGCCACTTTTTTGTTTTGAATCTGCCCAATTAGTGAGCAGGATTGAATGGTTTTAACTACCGTAAATTAATTGTTAAACCTCCTTGCATCCATCAACGCTCCCGCATGCATTGCTGCACCACACGCATATATTGGCTGCATGGCGCATGGGCCATGTCCCAATCAGACTGCAACTTTCTCTTAACTGCTTGAAACTAAGAGGGTGTTTGTTTCCAGGGACTTATTGGTTTAGGGACTTAAAAAAGTCCCTATAAGTCCCATCTAAACCAAACAGGAGGGACTTATAGGGACTTATTGGGGTCATTTGAGACTTGTCAAAAAAGACTCTCAGGGAGGAACTTATTGGGACTTATCGATCTGAACGCACCTACCCCGCATCGCCCCGCACGAACCCCGCCCCGCTCGTTCCCCTCCTCCTCGCCTCGCTCCTTCCCCGCCTCGCCCCAATCGCCGCTGCAGCCGGCACCCTCAACCGCCGCCGCCATGGCCGATGAGGAGGACGAGATCCCCTTCTTCTCTCAATTCCCCTCGTCTCAACAGGCACCCGAAGGCTCATTCGCCGGTGGAAATCTCGGGAGGGGAATGGGTTTCTTGGATCTCAACAGCAACGTCGACGTCTTCCCGGAGTTGGGCTCATCCGCCGGTATGAACAAGGGTTATGTGAACAAGTGTTTTACCAACTTATAAGTCCCTGTAAACAAACAGGTAGGGACTCGGGACTTATAAGTCGATGTAAACAAACAAGTAGGGACTTATGACTTATAAGTTGGAACTTAAAAAAGTCCTATGACCTATGAAACAAATAGGGCCTTAGGGGATAGCAACCGGCCTTACAAAAGTGGACTTTCTCTAGCCGAGAAATCCCGGACATAGGTAACACCAACGTAGAATCTGTCGTGGTACTAAGACTGACAGTAGAATAGGGGTAGGTATGGAGAGGCAAGATCCTAGCTATGGAGTAGTTGTATACACAAGGGATTTACGAGTTCAGGCACTTCTCGGAAGAAGTAACAGCCCTACGTCTCGGAGCCCTGAGGCGGTCGACTGGATTATATGTGTATGAGTTACAGGGGTGCGAACCCTTCTGCTAGTGGAGGAGGGTGGCTTATATAGTGTCCGCCAGGACCCCAGCCAGCCCACGCAGCGGAGGGTTTAAAGTACATTAAGGCCAAGCATTACCTGTAACGCCTTACATAAAGTGTCATCATGACCATAAAGACTACTTAATTACAGACCGTTTGGATATAGAGTGGCTCTTGATCTCCTGGTGGTCGAGTGAGTCTTCATGGTTGACTGTCTTCGAGTCCGTCGAGTGGAATCCCTCTTGGTCGACTAGAAGGCAGCTTCTTCTAAAAATGTCCTTAGGGAGGGTACTTTGGACAGGTCCATGACCCTACCCTAGGTACATGACTTCATCATTAGCCCCCGAATGGATCGAGGTTTGAGTGAGGAAGGAGTTGATAATCTTTCCGACCTGTTTTTGTGCTCTGAGTATGTCTCATTCTGGATCAATGACTTTTTTAGAGATGGCATCAACTTTTCTTTCAGTCGCCTTGATCCATTCTTTTCCTCTGTCGAGTGAACTTTTGAACTTGGTGGACTTCCGAGCGACGGATCATAGGAAATCTACTGTCTGATAGGTTGCTCTGCTGCTAGCAGATTTAGTGGGATCCGAATTTTGGGAAGCGCGCGAAGCGGGGAGGACCGTGGTACTCGGATGGGATAAGGCGAAGATGCCTCGATTTCCGCGCCGCCTTTTTCGCCACGTATCGCGCGCGCAACTGTTTCGGGATTTGACAGGATCGTCCGGGCCTACCTGTCATCCACTTGGAAGTGTCCCTATATAAGGTGCCGGACGAGGGTTTTGAACAGTGCGTCTCCATTCCCCTCTCCACCTTCCTCACCCTCGCCTGCTGCGCCCGCTTTTATCTCCGCCCACCCACCCCTCGCACGCCTCGCCGGCGGCAATGGTGAAGGAGAAGACGGCGGCCTTGGAGCGAGCGAAGAAGGCGACGGCGACGG